GATCATCTTCCGCGAGTCAAGAAAAGAGTTCCTCTAACGTGGTATATTCGGTCTTATCAGCTTTCCGGCGCTTCCTGAACTCGTCCCAGTCCGTCACCCTGTACTCTTTAGGTGGAGCTGCCCGGGTTTCCTGTGTGACTGCGAGGATGAAGTGATCACTTCCCAGGCTTTCCTGCAAGTTAACCCACTGAACTTTCCCCTTATTTCTGATGAATGCTAGATCCGGAGTGGTGTCTCTTGAAACGGAATTGCCCAACCGGGTTGGGAACTGAGGGTTTGTGACCAGCTCCAAGGAACAGTCCGTCATAGCTTTAACAAGGTTTTTCCGTTTAACGGTGGCCGGTGGATAACCCCAGGCTGGGTGAAGTGCTATAAAGTCACCGATAGCTACAATCGGTGACTTGCCTGCAAGTCACCGATATGGATATCGATATTCATATCACATGTTCATATCGACGGGAGCCTGATCCATTGGCATACCGGGGTGCACATAGGGAACACGTGAAACAGGCGTCATCGGGACAAAAGAGTTCGCGCCTGGAGCGAGTCTAGTCTGCTTTCGATCATGGCAACTTTACATGCTGCGAGGTCAAAGCATTCCGCCTGCCGTGCTACCACCTTTTGTAAATCTTTGGTTGCTCCCAAGACGTCCAAGTCGGAAGCCGCCGCCACCTCTCCTTCCGCACCTATCTTTCTCTTAGCTGGCCGCGGCTCTACTGACGAAGACCGAACCGGGCCTGTGCTGTATTTTTGAGAGCTTCAAACTCGACCCTCATCTGTTGAAGCTGCGCTTTTAAGGTAGCATTTTCTTGAAGTAAGAATGCAATCCTACGGTCTTCTTTTTGCTCTGGAAGTGCCGCGTGCGTTACCTGTGGTGGCTGCTGCGCCGGGCTTGGCTTGGCACGATCCGCCCAGGTCTTGGGAGCTTGTTGGAAGCGTAGCCTAGAGTGGGAGGGTCCCTCGGAGTGGGCGCGCCTCTTGGAGCGAGAGCGTCATCTTCAGCGGCTGCGACTCTTTTTAACAGCTGGTGAAGGAGAGCGCATCCTCGAGGTTGGTGCGACGCTCGAATCCTGTGACGTCAGACCCTCTTGGTGCTGCCTGCGTTTCTTGGCGGCCTTTCTACGCCGTCTTCGTCGCCTTACCAAGTAGGGGACTTGGAATCGATGCTGGCCGGAATCGTCGGCCGCTAGATGTGCCCCCCCCCCCCCCTGCACTGGGCACATGTCGGCTGGCATTGGTGATCGTTCGCGGGATCGTTGACAGCCCACCCGCGGCACAATTTCTTCGTCGGTGTCGGGCACACATCGACACGATGGCCAAGAGCTCCACATCGGCAAGGTTCCTTTTGGCGTTGCATAAGTCAGTTGCCAGACTTTGGGGTGGTTGCTGCCAGACTGCCGCTATATTTGGCTAAACAAATTTTTCCTGTAGTTGTGGCTTCTCCGTAAGAGTTTGGTGCCATCCGCGGTGCATTTGGTGAGTGCATGAGCGACGATGGCCGTTTGGTCCTGGGGAACTGGTCAGACACCCCCCTAAGAGGTGTCCGCCGCAGTTGCTGGCCCCGTCCACGCCGGGACTGGAAGACCGCGGCTCTCCACCCGTTCGCAGGCCTCCTAAACTGCCGAGTATTGGACTGAGAGTTCGGGGCTTTAAAGAGCCCTCTCCCAGTCTTCTTCTGTGCTGAACATCGCGCCATGTAACGCCGGGCACTGCCAAAGCATGTGAGCGAGTGTACAGTTATGTGCCTCACAACTAGTGCATCCTGGAGTTATGCCATCAGCAAAGTGGCTGAATGTGCTACGAGATGGGAATGAACCTGCCTGTAGCATCCGATGAACCGACGACTGTGGCCGAGTGAGCTTGGAATGCGGAAGCGGGTACCTTCGCTTAGACAAGTGATAATGGGACGTCACTTCGTTAAAAGTGCCAAGTGGATAGATATTTAAAATTATCCGCGAACCCACCTCCGTACCCGCCCGGACTGCCGCGGCACGCGATTTCTCGCGCACGGTTATGGGCAAGTTCGTTGGCGTTGGGAAGAGTCGGATGCACCTCTGAGCCTATGTGGGCCGGAAACCAGGTGACTGTGTGGTGGCCTACTACACCCCTGGAATTTAGAATAGCGGCAGCCTTCCTAGAGATTACCCCCGCGGCAAAGGCCCGGGCGGCAGCCCTGGAGTCAGTAAATATCTCTGGACGCGAAGGGTCCGTCATCGCCAAGGCTATCGCTACCTGCTCTGTTACGGAGGCAGATGCTTTCCTCACAGAAGCTGAGTTGAGTACGTGACCGCGATGATCAACGACCACAGCTGCAAAACGATCGGAGCGGTCGTACTGCGCCGCATCGACGAAAGCTACACTGCCCGTGGACTTAGCCACGAAATCAAGGAGAGACTTGGCCCGCGCCTTTCGCCGGCCAACATTGTACTGTAGATGAACGTTACGCGGGAAGGGTGACACCTCGTACGTGCCCTTCATTGTTTGTGATAAGAAGATCTATGTTCCTCCCCTGCCATATGATGATATCCCAGCAACTACAGAAGACACTGCCCAGCTTTCGTGGGGGAGATTCGCACGACCTGAGCTAGTGTTTGTGCCTCGGTCACCTTCGTGAGGGTGTTGTGCATGCCCAGACTTATGATCCGGTTCGTGCTGGTGCTCATAGGTAGGCCTAGAACCCTTTTGATGCTTTTACGCAATAAAGTGTCGAGTTTATCCTCCTCGCGTTTAGACTAACTTAGCGAGGATGCCACGCAATTAATGTGGCTCATCAGGAATGAATAGAAGACCCGAAGGAGATTTTTCTCTCTCAGCCCTCCCCTGCTGCTTGAAACCCTCAATATTAGTCTGAGCATGTTCTCCATTTTCGAGGTGATGCGAGCCAAAACCTGCGAATTGGCTGCCGTTTCCAGGGTTTGCTGCCGTCTCCAGGGTTTCAGCTAGACCAATCAGGCTAACCTTCTTGAGATCCAGGCCTCCTTTTGGTCGGACTATGACTCGAATATGGCTCCTCGGCAATCGGGGAAGCGTCGATGCGGCTGAAAGAAGCTGAAGGACGCCATGCGCGATGGCCGTGCGATGGGCAGCCATTCCTCCACTTTGAGAAGAAGCAGACGCTTGTTGTCGGGGAGAACGCTTATTCTTGCCTAAAGCAGTCTGCCACTCAGGCGCGTTAGCATATTCTTGGGAAACAACTTCCCCGTCCATCACCATCACCTCCGGCATGATGCCGTTCCGTCGGCACGGGCGGTTGCCCCGTGGAAGAAAATTCTTTAAAAAGGATGAAAAGTGGGCCTACCAAGTCAAAAATGGGCTCGGTAGAATCCTTTTGATGACATCTGTCGAAGGGCGTACGATTCCGGAGGATTGAAGCAGTACTCTGACAGCAACCATTCGAAGACGACATAGACGACGCAGCGTCTCTCGCCGACGCTGCGTCGTCTAGAAGAACACATCCGTACGCACTGGCCTCTCGAAAGACTCCCACGGCATGGTTGTGGCACCTGCCGTCGCTTTCCATTCTACACCTTATCACCTCCGTGACTGGCGCGCACGCCTTCGTTTTTGAAGATAACTGCCAGATGGCGCTTGTGTCTAACGTGCTTAACAGCAGGGGGCTTAACAGCAAAGGGCCAAACAAACAAAAAATTATCGGTTAAGAAGAAGGTGAAGGAAGCTGAGACCAATATGTGGAGAATCGGCATGATTAAGAAGTCCGCACTAGAGATCTATCGAACTTTTAAGCAGGAAATTGCCAAGGAAAGGATCTATGATAATACTCGGGGTAGTTCTCTACTGTTTGAGGCCAGGACGGGAGTATTACGAACCAAGACATATCGGGCCAAATACAAAGGGGTAGACACGGTATGCAGCGCGTGTGGAGAGAAAGAAGAAACTGCCGAACACTTGATAATGTTCTGCAAAGAGCTTCCCCCTATAGTTCAGGATGATGGCGCAGAGTTTTTCAAAGCACTGGGGTTTAGGAACAGGGAGGGCAAAGTAGACTTTAAGCGGGTTAAATTAACTAGAAGGAGGTTATCTGATTGGTGGCTAAAGTCAAAGCACGAGTGAAAATTATACGCTTCACTGCAAAGTACGAATCCTCAACCTCACTATTTAAGAGAAAAAATAAATCTAGTTTTTGGTTCATTAGGTATTATGGCTTGGTGGCGCTAGCCACCACCCAATTTAAAGGGTACAGCCATATCCAACCATCCATTTATCCATCCATCCATCTACCCTAGATGCGCTTGTTCGCCTCCGTTACACTACAGTGCTTACACGTTCGAGGCACTGTAACGCAACACCTTTAGAATACCATTCACCGATTTTCTTGTGCAGAAAATCAAATAAACTTTTTGTTCACTCTCTCTAGATGTAAGACTATCGTCTTTCGAGGACATTTACAGTGTAACATGTATATTCAGGCCAACTTTTTGTTCTGTTAGTTGTATCCTTCTCACGTAAATGGCGACAGTGGCAACGAGCCGCCGACTGCTGCATTCTTGGGTGTCTAAGGAAGTTACGCAACCAGTATACATATACCTTGGAAGCACTGTTAAATTCCGACGAATACATTGCTCTCGAAGCTTTAGGACGCGAATGTAAAGCAGATAAAAGCGTAGGTATTGAACTCATGGCCCACGTGATGCACGATGACGGCATGATGAACTAGAGCCCTTACAAACCAGCTGCAGAAAATTCTGTATATCTTGCGAGGAAAATTACGGTTAAGTAAGACTTCGTAGGGTCATTAACATGAATAACTACTGTTGTGTAGTGTGACTGTGGCCGCTAGGTTTGGCGGCAACAGGAAAGACAGCTACGAACATGTGATGTGTGGCCACTCCACCTGGCGGCGTTGAAGTGGTCCTGAGTTGTTTTTGATACGTATGTTCTCAGTTGGTGTTTGCCGGCGGAGTGTGGCCTGGCGTAAATAAACGTTCGTGTTCCTCAACCCACAATCTGTAATACTGGCGACGAGGATGGGATAGGTCGGCATGACGTCCAGCGCGGCAATGGAGGACGGGCGGAACCCCGGACAACGGGGGGCCTCCAGCAATGGCTCCCTCGAGCAATTCAACTTGTCACAGCCGGACGAGTGGGAAGACTATGCTCAGCGGTTCGAATTCTTCCTGGAGGCGCAGGGCATTACGGACGCTGGAAAGAAAAGGTCGACGTTTCTCAGCCGTTGCGGGGCCGCGACGTTCCAGTTGGCCAAGGCCCTCGTCGCGCCGGACCAGCTGAAAGATACGCCGTACGAGGACATCATCGCTGCCCTTCGAAATCATCTTTCGCCGAAACCACCGGAATTGGCGCGGCGATACGAGTTACATCGCGGAGAGCAAGCAACCGGTGAGTCCGTCGCTGCATACCTCGCGGCTCTGCGAACGACTGCACAGCACTGCAACTTCGTTGACCTTGATAAGGCACTCCGAGACCGTTTCGTTTTTGGCCTGAGGAACGATAAAGCTAAACGGCGAATTTTGGCGAAAAAGGAAGTGTCGCTCGCCTGCGCCGTCGAGGAAGCTACCGCCGCTGAGGCCATCGACCATGAGGCCAGCCAGTCGCGACTAAACGCAACCGCGCCGCGTACCGAGCCAGTGCACCAGGGAACGGTCGCCGACTGTGGAGAGGACCAGGACGGCCTCGAGGAATGTGTTCGTCAGTTACGTGCAGACACCAGTCAACGCAGGGACGCAGGACTGGGGGGCGGATCTTGTGCCGGTTGTGGGGGGCCGCACGAGCGCCGGTTGTGTCGTTTCCGTGATGCCCAATGCCGAGGTTGCGGAAAAACAGGGCACATAGCCAAGGTCTGCCGGTCTCAACGGAAGCGGGACCGCCGTGCAAATTTTGAGACAAGCGGCAGGACGGACAATTCGCGGACCACTCCGCGTGCGAGTACCTCGTACTGCGACAACCTCACGGAGACCGCCATCCACGATTTGCCCCAGCCCGGGACAAAGAAGATTCACGTTGCTGTCGAAATCGAAGGTGTGGAGTGCGAGATGGAGGTGGACTCCGGATCCACGTTTTCGCTCATCTCCGAGGCTACGGCCAGGCAAATCTTCCCGAATGGGCGCATCCCGAAGTTGAAGCAACTCGACGTCGTTATGAAGGACTATCAGGGAAACTGCATAGCAGTGCAAGGGATGGCCACAGTTACAGTAAAATTCAGGGGTTTTGCTGGCCCACTGAAACTTGTCATTGTCAAAGGGCAGCGTCAAAGCCTCCTTGGACTAGACTGGTTTCCAGCATTAGGAATTAAGGTCACCGGAGTGCATCGCATGGATGAACTGGCCACGGCATTTGACAAGCTGTTTGGGGAGTTTGCTGTTGTCTTTGACCGGGGACTGGGGTGCTACAAGGGACCACCTGTGAAGTTGGCCTTGAACCCGGAGGTGATGCCAGTCCGCCTAAAGGCAAGGAGGGTGCCCTTTGCACTGCGCCAAAAGATCGATGCCGAGCTTGACAAGCTGCTACAGCAGGGTGTTCTGGAGCCAGTGGACTGCGCGGAGTGGGAAACCCCTATTGTCACACCATTGAAGGGAAATGGAGACATCCGCATCTGTGCGGACTACAAGTGTACCATTAACAAGGCCCTCCAGCAGCATGCATATCCGGTGTCGGTGGTCAGCCACGTATTGGCTTCTCTCTCAGGCGGAACCATTTTTGCAAAGCTCGACTTGGCCCAGGCTTACCAGCAGCTGCCTGTCACCGATGAGTCTGCAGCAGCACAGACCATCGTAACGCATCGTGGGGCGTTCAGGGTACGCCGATTACAGTTTGGTGTCAGTGTCGCACCTTGCATCTTTCAAAATCTAATGGAAACCCTCCTACGTGGAATACCAGGTGTAATTCCATATTTTGATGATGTGCTAATTGCAGGGGCGTCAGGTCAAGAATTGCTCTCTCGCCTTCGTGAGGTCCTTCGCCGTTTCCAGGATGCTGGGCTGAAGGTAAAAAGAGAGAAGTGCCAGCTGGGTGTCGCCCAAGTCGAGTTCTTGGGGTTTCGAATAGACGCCGAGGGCATCCATCCGACCCCAGAAAAAACACAGGCCATTCTTGGTGCACCTCGCCCGTCAAACAAGACCGAACTCCAGGCATTCCTGGGACTGGTGAACTTCTATCATGCGTTCTTGCCACACAAGGCCACTGTTGCGGAACCACTACACCGACTTTTGGACAAGAAGGCCACCTTTGTGTGGGGCCAAACACAACAAAGAGCGTTTGAAAGCGTGAAAGAACTCTTGGCATCCAATCAAGTCTTGACGCATTATGATGAGAAGCAACCTCTCATCCTTGCCTGTGATGCGTCCCCATACGGAATAGGAGCTGTGTTGAGCCACCGATTGCCCGGCGGCACAGAAGCACCGGTCGCCTTTTATTCAAGGACCCTGTCGAGTGCAGAGCGAAACTATGCACAGATCGATAAGGAGGCACTTGCCGTGGTTGCAGGCGTCAAAAAGTTTCACGACTACCTGTTTGGCCGGCCTTTTCAGATCCAGACGGACCACAAGCCACTGCTCGGGTTGTTCACGTCTGACCGCCAGACACCACAGATGCTGTCTCCGCGGATGCTGCGCTGGTCTATCTTCCTGAATGGATACCAACATACGCTGCTCCACCGGGCTGGGAGGCACTTGGGCCATGCGGACGGCCTCAGCAGACTGCCCTTACAGCACCAGTGCCACGATGACCCCTCTCCCGCAGAGGTTGTCATGCTCCTGGATGCGCTGCCAGAACCACCCCTCCATGCAGCGGACATTGCCACCCACTCTGCCAAAGATCGCACCCTTTCACGTGTTCTTAACTGGGTCTGGAAGGGGTGGCCAAGGGGCAGCATGGGCCCAGAGTTTTCTGCCTTCACATCAAGGCAGCACGAACTGACTGCCCACAAGGGTTGCCTACTCTGGAGTGACCGTGTGGTGATTCCACAAAAGCTGCTGTTCCGGGGGCTGGAAGCACTGCATTCTGGGCATCCTGGTATTATCCGGATGAAGGCACTTGCCCGCAGCTATGTGTGGTGGCCAGGCATGGATGCTGCCATCGAAGAATGGGTCCGATGCTGCTCCTCTTGTCAGGAGACGCGGCCAGAGATGCCTCGAGCACCCGTCCACCCTTGGGAGGCGTCTCGGAACCCATGGTCCCGCCTCCATATGGATTTTGCCGGTCCCTTTCAAGGGCAGACCTTCTTAATCGTCGTGGATTCGTATTCAAAGTGGCTGGAGGTCATCCCAGCATCCTCTATGACGGCACAGACAGCAATCAGTGCATTACGGAAACTGTTTGCCACGCATGGTCTCCCAGACACGATTGTCTCAGACAACGGAGCTCAGTTTAAGTCCACAGAGTTTCGAGAGTTCCTGGACAGCAATCTGATCCGCCAGGTAACTTCGGCACCATTCCACCCATCTACGAATGGCCAGGCAGAAAGGATGGTACGCACTACCAAGGAAGGCCTATCTCGCATCATCCAGGGGAACTGGGCACGGCGCCTGGCAGATTTCACACTGCAGCAGCACGTAACCCCACACACGACTACGGGGCGATCCCCGGCCGAGCTCCTAATGGGCCGCAAGTTGTCAACGATGTTGGACCGCCTGCACCCTGATCGGGCCCCAGAGAAGTCCACACGGTTGGCAGATTCCCCGTCCAAACCACGCACGTTTCAGCCTGAAGACCCTGTCTTCGCACGTAACTATGCTCAGGGGCCTCTGTGGATTCCAGCAGTGATCTCCCGTGCAACCGGACCAATATCTTATGAGGTCACGGCCCCTGATGGTCGAGTACTGCGCAGGCATGTGGACCAACTCCGTCGCCGGACGGTCGGGCCTACCCAAACGGCGGGTGCAGAACTGGAAAGACCGCAGCCTGAAAGACGACCGATGTCAACGTCTACCCCTGAAGGCTCGAGTTCTGTCCCGGTGGCCCCTGAAGGCTCGAGTTCGGCCCCTGTGGAGCCAGACGCACCTGGGGAGCAGCCGACTCCTGTGGTTAGCAGTGTGCCCCCACAGGAGGGCGGAACCGTTCCACTGACTGTCCCAGTGGAGGCAAATGGCGAGCCTTTAGTGCCACCACTGTGCCTTCGTCGCTCGCAGCGTGCTCGGGGAACCCCGCACCATCTAAGAGACTACGTACTGGCCCTGGCTGACTGCTGAGTTCAAACTTGGAGGGGAGGGGTGTTGTGTAGTGTGAATGTGGCCGCTAGGTTTGGCGGCAACAGGAAAGACAGCTACGAACATGTGATGTGTGGCCGCTCCACCTGGCGGCGTTGAAGTGGTCCTGAGTTGTTTTTGATACGCATGTTCTCAGTTGGTGTTTGCCGGCGGAGTGTGGCCTGGCGTAAATAAACGTTCGTGTTCCTCAACCCACAATCTGTAATAACTACCACCGTGATGTGCGCGTCGGAAACAAGGGATGTTGTAGTAGCCGTGTTATGCCGAGTTTCAACTGTGCTGCAGCCCCGCCACGGTGCTGTATAATGGGTAAGGTACTCAGCTGCTGGCCCGCAGCTCCTGGAATCTTATCCCGGCTGCGGCGGCTGCATTCTTTAGGGAAGCGAAAATCTACAGGGACTGGTCCTCAGACGGAGGTGCACGTTAAGAACCCCAGGCAGGAACCGACCACTTAGACTAGTTTCGGCATTGGAAATTAAGCTTCCGACATTGTTTCGGTAGGTGCGAAAATTCAGCAACTTTTACATGTGTGAACTTATCTTTCCACCCTAAGCAATAATAAAGAAAGCTATGCCATAATGAGTAGAAGTAAAATGCCTCCTTGGCTATTCTCTTGTTTTAACAAACTGCATGCATGTTTATTCAGACGCTGTATTCGTTGCCATGACAGGCGGCGCTTTTACTCTTATCTCTACGACAGCCATGCGGTTTGTCTGCTCCTACCATTTTTTTTCACTTTGCATGAGTGGAAATTTTTATAATGCCTTGAAAGTCAAAAATTTTGGTGTTTGTGACTTCGAACGCGTTAAAAATGTTGAAGATTCTAGAAAAAGGACACAAGGCATGCTGCGTTGCTTCGTAGTGCCACGACTATGGAAGAAACAGCTCAGCGAAGTTTTCCTGCTGCCCAGTGGATGAAAGGTAAGCACACGTTTCATTCGGTACGAAGAAGCAAGTGCTATTCTTATCAAACCGCTACAAGGCTAGCCAAAAACTTTAGGTTGTAGCTTTGGGGTGGTTTTTTGTGTGGCACTGCGCATTTTTCAGTAATGTGAAGCTTGTGAAGCTACTTTTGGACAGTGTCGCGTGAGCAGGTTGGTGCCAGCTGACGCGCAGACGGAAATGTCACTTAGGTACCGGTGTTGCTTGCGGCAGCTCTTCATTTGTTTTTGTTTCCGAAGAAATATTGCAAAGTATCTTCGCTGAACGCGCCTCCTCGACGAACTTGTTCTGCTTAAGAGAGTTCCGACGGCCAGTTCCTAACATCGTCATTACCACTTCTATCTATCTATCTATCTATCTATCTATCTATCTATCTATCTATCTATCTATCTATCTATCTATCTATCTATCTATCTATCTATCTATCTATCTATCTATCTATCTATCTATCTATCTATCTATCTATCTATCTATCTATCTATCTATCTATCTATCTATCTATCTATCTATCTATCTATCTATCTATCTATCTATCTATCTATCTATCTATCTATCTATCTATCTATCTATCTATCTATCTATCTATCTATCTATCTATCTATCTATCTATCTATCTATCTATCTATCTATCTATCTATCTATCTATCTAGCTGTCTACGACTTTCAGCTCTCCTGGCCGTTTCTATAATGGTATAAATGCAAAACTTGGTGTGGCACAACATGACTGTTTGAAGAACATATATGGCTAGTCATTACATGAAAAGCATGACATGTATGTCATGAATGTCATGATTTACATTTCTTGATACTGCAGCCCTTGCGGTGGTTTCATACACATGGCATGTTGCAAAAGTGGTATGGTATGACATGATTGCATGACGAACACAAGCAACAGACCCTAACAAGAAAATCATGACATGCGTGTCATGTAACAACATGACTACATGCCACGCTCATGATGCGCTTGCGGCTGTTTCGCTAAGGTCACATGTACCAAATTTGGTATTATGGTACGTGAATGGATGACAAAGAAATGTGACTGGTGCGAACATGATAATCATCAGATGCGTGTCATGTAACAACAGCACATGTCACGCTCATGATGTGCTGGCGGCCGTTTTGCTAGCTTCACTTATACGAAATTTAGTATTAAGGGACGTGAATGGATGACGAAGGTACGATACTGGTGCAAACATGATAAATATGAGATGCGCGTCATGTGAGAACATGACTACATGCCACAGTCAAGGCGCCAATACATTTCGATGTGACGCGGTGCGCGTGCTCGCCGTCGTTCATTTCGTCCCGTCACGCCGGCATTGCCACGCCAGGCGCCGGTCCTGCCATGTACTCGCAGGCGCGCGCCGCGCTGCGTTATTTGGACGCATGGGCGTTTCAGCACGTCCGGTGTCCCTCCATCACAAAAAGAGGAAGACGCAGTGTTGTCTGGGTAACGCATCGGAGCTAAATGCAGCATGCTGCATTTCGCGCCAGTTGCCGTCGGGCCGCGCCGACGGACACTAGTCGTGCCTGTCGCACCTGGAATCCGATCATATAGAGTGCTCGCATTTTGCTTAAGTAGCGTCGCTGTGCCTAGTTTGCGCGCGCTTCAACGCTGCATAGGAGTATATTGGGCCCTTCATATAGCACTCGCGGCCGTTTTACTGGCTCCACATATACCAACTTTGGTGTTACGTGACGTCAATGGATGACGAAAGTATATTACTGGTGCAAACACAATAATCCTGACACGCGTGTCATGTAAGGACATGACAACATACCACGCTCGTAGCGTGCTCGTGGCCGTTTCGCTAGCTCCACGTATACTAAATTTCGTATCACGTGACGTGAATAGATGACGAAGGTAAACAACACATCGAAACATGATAATTATCACACGGAAGTTACGTACGGCAAAATTTACCTCCACCTCGTAACGTTATGCTTACTTTCAAGTGCTTACTTTTACTTTTCTCATTCGTGCTTCGCATATTATCGATTTCCATTGTACGTGGGATCTGCGATTTTTTTTTATTTGTTTTCTAGGCATGGCGTAAGGCGGAATCACGCCAAAAGGCCAGACCTTGAGGCACTCACACGAGAGCAATAGTACGGTAGCTACAGCCTCTGCTCGGACCACTTCGCAGAAAGTGCCCATGCGAACCCTGCCAAAAACATGGTTCTTGTGGACAGCTGTTCCCACTGTTGCAGGGGATGTAGGATTCACGATCGACGAAGGTAAGAAAAAGAATTTATTGGTGATTGTGAATTTGTGCGCCATTGCATTTCATTATCGCACCTTATCGCCTGAAGCATAATTCACGTGCCATATTTATGCGTAGGTGAAAGCTGTATCTTTACACTGCACTTCATGGTACCGCGTTCATGTACTTCACGATTGCCGTCTTTCACCATGTACCTAAACGAGACTGATGTGTACCCTATATTCAAGGACCCTCCCGGACGGAATCCACGGCTGCTTTGGTTCAAGAACCGCCCACGGCCAAAAGAGCCTCATCCAGGTAGCAGATATGCACTGGCCGACTTGTTGATTGTGGGCATCAAGGTGGGGGACGCGTGTCCTTGCTTTGCATAGAACTATTACGCAGGGTACAGTGCAAAAGTTGACAGCATGGAGCACTTCTTTCTTTTGTTCTTAATGTCGTCTGATACGGCTTAGTGTGACGTTACGCGTTGAGAACTTTGTTCTGCGTGCTCCAGGAAAGTGTGTTCGTTTTTTTTATTGTATGACCATGCGTCGTAAAGAGTGTTCTAAATTGCTCGTGCAGTTAACAATGCGAATATTTCTCACGTTCCTGGTGCAGCGAAACTTGCATTTTTTATTCTTCACAACGACACAATTCACGCTTCTAAAAAGCTGCGGTGCTATTGGCCTTGCTGTAAACAATACATCTGTCACTCGCCGTTGTCGCGTATCGGACATGGTGTTGTACTTAGAACCACGGAATGAAATCGCGTTGCGAAAAGGGCGAAGTTAGCGCATGCCTCCGGTGGTAGAGGTAGTTCGCAGTCGCTCATTGCGGTATGTATCGTGGTCTTTCACACTGATCGATTCAATACGATGAAGTCAAGCCTTGCGTACGCGCTGCATTTATCTCCATAAGTTTGGTCGTATGGCATATCCGGAGCCCTCCACTATGGCGTCTCTCATAATCATATGGTGGTTTTGGGACGTTAGACCCCACATATCAATTAATTGTATGACATAAATTTTACAGGAGCAGGTATGCTGGGGCCAGCAAACAGCAGCTTTTAAATGATTTAGCCTCATTACTTCTTATGGGCAGAGCGCAATATGCTTAAGAAAAAGTAAATAAAAAACCTGCTACTAGAATATTCTGAGCCAGCTAATCCTTGATTCTTGTTGATTGCTGGTCTGTGTTGCTGCGGTTGTTGATGGCGGGGGATGTCGAAGAAAACCCCGGCCCTACTGCGGCCCAGCAGCTACAGACTATTTCAAAAAATCAGGCAGCATTTGACCGTCGGTTGACTGGCATTCATGATCAATTAGCCCAGATACAGACAAATACCGATGGATTGGCTGGCTTAGTTGCTTCAGTCCAAGAACTGAACGCAAAAATTGAAGTTCTGGAACATACTGTAAAAACACAGGCAGAAAGGCTAAGTGAACTTGAAAACAGAAGTAGACGCAATAACCTCTTGGTTTTTGGCGTAAAGGAAGGCAGCCCGGAATCGGAGTCAGACCTGAAAGTTTCTGTAGTCGACAATATATTTGGCAGAAAACTGAACGTCCATGTTAAAACAATAGAAAGAATTCATAGATTGGGCAAGCAACGGCCGGGGCATATTAGACCAGTCATAATGAGGTTCTACGATTTCAAAGAAAAAGATACTATACTCCGAAACTGCAGCAAACTAAAGGGAACTTCTATTAGCGTGAGCAATGATTATTCGAAGGAGACGGTCGCGGTGCTGAAAAAGTTGTGGGACAGGGGCAGCGGAGAGAAGGTATCGCTAGTTTATGACAAATTGAAGGTAGGCGAAAGCTTATTTACTTGGGACTACAAC